TGATTGAATGTACTATTTTCTTCAATATTTCTTTTTACCTGTCCTTTGTTCACCTGCATATTTTCATGAATAAAGTACAATATTTACTTTATTTTCAATTTATTTTATGGAGAATAGACTCTGAAAATGTTCTAATGTGCTACAGAATCGCCAGTGTGTGATGCTGAACTAGAGAATGAACAATAAATTCTAAATATTGTAGTTCACTTTACTATACTTTACTGGTTAGAGTAAAGATGAAGTTCGACTCTTACTAAATCATAATGTGTGTACATATGCTATGACGTTCTTTCGATTAAAAATAGTTGCCATCTCAGAATTTTGCATGTCAGCTAAAAGACATACAAATCTTAAGAGACCATATAACTCAAAAGTAACTTACGTTTATATTGTTTTGTGAAACATTGATAGGTCGCCTGCCTTATCAGACAATGCTAATAAAATCTCTTCATCATTTTGTATTTCTTGAACAATTGTAATAATTTTCGTATATAAATAGAAACGCGAAAAAGAAAATAACAAGGTCTTATCAGAAAAATAAGTAAAGAAACTTAGTACTTTTACAACATCATTATATTGACTACGTGAAAATGCATCTGCTGCTTGGGATTTCATCTCTTTCATGAACATAGTCATTATTTTGTTCGATAAAGACAAGTATTTTGCTTATCGTATGTAGAAAATAAGATTAACGAAACCAAGATATGGCATAAAAGAAATATTGAAGAAAATAGTACATTCAATCATTAAACTGTTAATGAATGAATCCAACTTCCGATAATTTAATACATATTTTACTAACGAAGAAATCAAGAATATGTTTTTATTTTGAAACCATGCTTTTTTGAATAAAAATTACTTCCGCGTATAATAATCTAATAAAAGAGGTATTTCTCTCTTTCTATCAAATCTTTCAGAAGATGTTGTGATAATGAATGATGTTTATCATATAGTGTTCAAATCGTATATGGTATATGCGTTTCTTTGCAAATCATATATTATCACTCTATGATTTGGAGTGTTAAACGAAGAGAAGACCAACTCATAGCTACACTCTCTTTCAATAGAACTGGTCTTTTTTGTAACTATATGAGAAATCTGAAATGTTTTCATCTAGATAGTTAGGCATATTTTCTAGGTGGTTTACAGCATAGTACAATCCAGTCCAAGACTATCAGTTTTTGACTAAACAACTAAGACATGTTTGCACATTTGGTCAGTGTGTTTGAATTGTGAATAAAACAATTTAGTGAACAAATAAAAATGACACTGTATTCTAGTCAAATGCTGAACAAGTGATGATTTTGTGGTATCCAATACTTTTTAGCCTACACAAACACAATAGATGTTCATCTAAAAAAAAGATTATGTCAACAAAATCTATACAAATGCCTTATCATTTAACATTAGAACCAAACTTGCTGATTCAGTCGAACTCGAGAAACAATCATGGCCAAGATCAACAATTTTATCTGTTCTATCCATTATATCTGATGAATTATTCATATACGTAGACAAACTAGCATTATACGCTATTGGCCTCTGTATAAATATTACTATCAATAGCTTGTACAGTGCAGCGAACTCTCTGTCATCATTATAAAAATACAACAGAACAACCTTAATGTATCATCATCGAATAGAATAAGAATAGTACAGTAACGAGCAAAGAGAAAGAGATATATCGCTTGTGCGTTTATCCTTGTACAAAAATAGAACATGAAGAGGCGTACTGATTGTTTTGGTTACTAATAATTACTTTCATTCATATACATACGTATCTCTTCGATTACTTGCTTCCTATCTATTTTATTATTAACCAAGTGAAAGGTAATGGAATCTATTATCATAAAACTAAACTATAAAAAGTAATAAAAAAAAAAGTCCTGTAGGTTTTCAACATGGTTGGACGACTAGATTATGGCTATTTATTAACACCAGCTGGTCAACTCAATATTGCTGAAATCGTATGGTTTTTTACTCCTAACCTGATCTATAGAAAGAAAAGAAGAGGATTGCAGATTATTGCTTTAAAAAAAAAAACTATATTATATGCATGATGAAGCAATAAGAAATTAGTTGGATTCATCGCTTATATTCAAATCACGAAAAAAATCGGTTGTTAAAATTTGTTTTAGGTTTGTTTAATTGGAGCTTTGATTAGTGCTGCATTTACATCACGTTTATATTGTGAATTAGTTGATAATTCTCAATATATCTATCCACAATTAAATACATTACTTGTTCGATCTTTACTTCAATCATTTGCTATATTTTGTTGTACTGTAACACTTGTAATTCTTATTCTACATATTTCTGGTATAAGATTTTTGGGTAGAAATTTCTTTTATATAAATCAATTAGTAAGAATTTCATTATTTCTTTGTTTTTCTTTGAATACAATTCAATAAATTATTATTTTTATGATAGTGTTTAATTTTTAATATTTTTATGGGAATTATGATGATATCAATTGGTATATGTGCAGCATTTTGGGAGGATAAATTAAGACGTACACCTGCTATTATTCGACGTGGTTATTTTTTAAATAGATATCAATATATATATGGTGAAGTAACACATCCACGACCAGGTGCAGCAGCTGCTGCTGCAGTATGTAAATGAAATAATAAAATAAAAAATAAATTCTTCATATTTAGATTTTTGCTATTTTGGCGGGTATTCTATTTATTATTGAAGCTTGTACAAGACCAATGCTATATATGGGTGCAACACGTTTTCCAAATTATTATACAAAACCAATTGTATCTCAACATACTCCCATAGAGAACATCAATGAAGAACGTACAATACCAATTGAAACAACCACATCATTATATCCACAAACTCGACTTTAAATAGATTTTATTTATACTTTGCTAAGAATTTTGTGGAACTCACATATATTTTCGAAGAACATAGTGAGTGTAAGTTTTACAGTTTTCTCCCTGCTCCTCCCGGCTCCCGTCTCTATTACAGACTTTAACAATCAATAACAATAAGGATCAGACTTTCTAGAGTTTTTCTGCAAAATTGATTAAATTATAATTTTGCAAGATAATGAACATCATTGTTTGTGATTTGATTAGTATCTATAATAGAGCGTAAGATCTGTTGTAGATATCATGAATATATAAAACATACTTATTTGACAATTAATTGAATGATTATAATAATAAGAATATTGCATTAAAAAAAAACGAATTGAGCAAAATGAAAAATAACGAGTGAATAGCAGCAATGCAAACACAAAATAGGGTGCCCCTAGAAAAAAATCAAAAATTTCTGTTCAAAATCCACAAAAATAGAGAAGTCCTTACTCTGCTGATCGATTATCCTGCAAAACAGCTACAGGCTACGAGAAAGTTTTCAGTTAACGCATTTTATATTAGTTTAATGAGGATAATGAGCATATGTGAGTTCTACATCTCAGCTCCAAAGGGGCTATGCTAACAAGCTTTTTTTCATATTCTCAAATTATTCTCTAAAATTTCGCAATGAATAAAAGAAAAGAATTTTAACCAATGAGATTTTATTTTCATCTATTTAAATAAAAATACTAAAGTATTCAATGCAATGTACTTCGAAAGAAAACTAAAGGAAAAAACTATTCATAATGGAGACAGTGATCAACATTCCAAGTCATAAATGATTTCTTTGTTATTTTCATACAGTATTGTAATCATTTTTGAACTTTTTCAAGACTCTATCTATTGATTTCAAAATCTTCAACAATCATCGATATTATCATCTTATTCAGTGAGCAACTTCTAGTTTTATAAATGTGTATTATAAGTATTCATCGATCTTTTGCACGGTCATGTACTTTTGATGATAGATTGTTGTTCTAATTTGACTTGGATGAAAAGCTGTCTGGTCCGAATAATACACTATGATATCGTTCTATTTGAATGACAAATTAATTTTATTACGAGTAGATACAAAAATAATATGCAGGTGAGCAAAAACTGATAGAGGACGTCCAACAGGACTAGTCTCGAATGTCCATACTACTATCTAGTCTAGTCTAAGATGACTTGCAATTCATTAGAACTGGTCGTCTTGACGGAATATGTCATGTAACTAAATGTAGACTATCTCAGACTGTATCCATCACCTTTCATAACTGTTCCATTCATAGTGTCCAAACTCGTCAATGAAATAGAAAGCCCAGAAAAATAGATGACGACAGGTGGATTCGAATATTGAATTCGACAATATTGAATGCCTGACGAGTCTGAACTATTCCAA